ATTGTGTACTGCAAACACAATGTACACTATGTACACAACACACATAATCACTGTTCGCTATATTATTCACGTACACGAGCTCGCGCACGAAATGAAAAGCCAAGAAAAAGCAGAAAAACTAAATTAAACCCACGTTAAAGCCACGCTAAAGCGTAATAAACGAAATTTAACAAACTTATTACTTTACAATTACAAAGTAACGTATAACTAAAGCAAGGAGATTAAAATAAGTTCCGAGTTCGCTTATCACGTCGAGCAACTCTTCCAAAGTTTCGTTTTCGCTGTCGAAATGATTCTGTCCTTCCAAAGCTTCCAACGTTAACTACCTAAATTCTTTAGACGTATCTGACGAACACCGTGTCTACTTTCTTCGTTATCATACCTTTGCTTAAAAACTTACTGTCTCTCGCGAATATTACGCGTCTATCAGTCTTTCGATATCACAATAAAAAGAGTCGTGCCATTTAAATTCTTTATCTCCGTAGATCGGAAGTATTTTCCCGGTTGCATGGAAATACTGTGTAGCTCTGACTGAGAAAATCAGCTAGCGGAGGTTATCGTGGTTCGAGTACGTGCTGAGCCGCAACGTGAGGCCGTTATAAGGAGCCGGCACGTGAAAATAGCTTCACTACCAGGGGAAAATTGAACCTATAAGTTCCATCGCACCACTGCGCTCTTTTTACGGCACCCACCGATCCTAATTAAAGATGTATACCCCTGTCGTTGCGTGAAAACACTTTAACTATAACGTGAATTTCTTCCAGCTGGAATTATACGGGGTACTTAAATTTTCAAACGAGATTAAACTGTTCTTTTGGTTCTCCTAGATGCAAATTACAGCCGATTGCAATGTTCAATCGTTTAATTTCAATTTAAATTGCCGAGTTAGAATGAAAACGCTAGCCTGCTCGCGAGAATTGAAACGAGCTACCCGATATTGTTCAATTTAACCGAGCAAGGGTGTATCGCTCGGTTTTGTTCACCGTGTGTTCTGAGTACGTGAGAATGATGGGAGGAGAGAAGGGGAAAATAAGCGATGACTAGTGGTTTTTTATGCGTGGTAATTGTCGCAGTGTGATTACTGAGCGCGTTGTGAATGTGGAAGTGTTGCAAGAGTCGTATGTGAGCGTGGGTCTACCGAAGCAAGAGTGATGGTGAGTAATGCATACGTGGAGAATCGTAGTGTGTAAGGGAATATAGGAACTTTGAACCGTAAAGCAGTAAAACATTGAACCATACCTGGCATACATGGACAGAGCGAGAATATGGATGCGGTTTTCTCGTGGAATGAATGGGTCTCGGCAAATAGAATGATCGTTTTGCATATGCATGCGCTGGATGCGCAATGATATCGTGATCGATATGAAAAGCTGTTGTTGACGCACATGTTGCGGTAAGGAATGATCTCGTAGCGGTGAGGAATACGTGAATGACTTGAGAGAGAATGCACGGTTACACGGTGTGAGTGTGAACGAAGGGATGAATACGAATGATCTATTAGAGAGAGAGAGAGAGCGATGTCATAGATCCAGGTAGCGAATAGGAAGCGACTGAAAGAGATGAAGGTGGAGGGTGTGAGGCAGATCAGCTGGGTGGACGAATGAGTTGAAATGATATGAAAAGGAGCAGGAAGGCGAACAGCGAGGAAGTAGGTGAGAAAATGGCTGTATACAAAAGACAGCCGAGGGAGAGCGAATTTTCCAATTATCCTCTTTCATTCTCCATAGCGAAAGAGGATAATTGGAAAAGATTTGTGAACGATTCCCAGTTTCGTGTGTTCGTTCCGCGACGAGACCGCGAGTGGATATTTCCGCAAACGTGAGTAGCTTTAAGTGGGATCAGGTGAATGAGACAGTACTTATGTCTGATGAAGTTGCTTGAAAACACTCTACTTGAGTTGGAGTGAGTGTAGAAATGTTGAAAGAGCTATTCCAGAGTGGCTGAAGTGGAAGAAAGAGAGTGTAATTCTCCTATTGAAATTCCTAGAAAATGTGATATCAGTCCCTGTCTTACACACCAATTAGCCTAATTTCCGTGTGCTTGGGAAGACGATAGAAATGGTTAAACGTTCTGAGAGAAGGATAGTTGAAAGAATGCAGGAAATATCGTTCTTTTCAGATTGCTTAGATGCGTACGAGAGAGTGTGTTTACGGAAGTGAGTGTAAATATGTGCTTGCAATATTTGTAGATTTCAAAGGTACGTTTGATAATCCTAAACGAGTTCGTGTGTTTGAAAAATTGGGTCGTACGTATCAGCTACAAGAATGTTAGATCGTGGTATGTTTATTTTACTGAACAGAAAGCCTGTATGTCGATGTAACGTGGAAATCCTTCATTCCTGGTGGTCCACGTATAATTTGCATACAGAACCTCGTAATAGACGGTCTCCAGAGGAGGAATTACACAGTGTGAACACAAGTGTATGATGTACTTACGTGAACGATCTGTTATCGATTGTTCAGTGGGAGAATCGAGTGGAACTGGAGCGACATGGTATAAGAGTAAGAGGCTGTGAGTTCTTGAAAGGGAGTTGGTTCTATTCATACAAATACAACCTCTAACCCGAACCTAACTGCATCTAAAGCATGGGTCTCCTAGGTAGATTTACCGGCGGTGCATTCACCAGGGGAGCCCCCGGATGAAACGCACTGCTTGCTTCTTCTCTTACCTTTCTCGCTATCTATATCACTTCCTTCCTTCCACTACCCACCACCGCGGTACGAAGGATCTCTGCAGTTACTCACTGTCGGAATCACCGAGGATACCCTAAATCAACCGGGAAACTGTTTTTAAACTGAAATATCGTTCTTTTCTTCTTCCGTGTGTTCGTTAGCCGGCTGATCGTTAATTTTTAACTGGCTCTTTTTGGTTTAAACGCCGCTGCACCGAGAAGGTACTTGAACGTTAGAAATTCTGGGAGGACTAGGTGTGGTAAATTTAAAAAGAATTCTTGTGGAGAATGCGAAAACTTAAAAAAGCTCAAAAGAAGTCAAATTTGATGTGTAATTTTTTTTAATTATTATCTAATGGCCATTTTCTATATTAAACTGGCAATCACCTGTATTACTTTGGGCAAAATATGATCTTTATTTATTAACCGATCATTTGATCGGCCACGGGAAGATTAAGTATACATAAATGTTTAATACAAATAAGTAACGGTTTACTCTTAATTCAAATAAGTAACATAAATAAATTAAAATACAATACAATATAAATATTTCTACAATAAAGTTTTAAAGCAAAAATGAAATATAAATGCGAAAGTCTAAGTTTCAGAAGTATACAAGCCTTAGTATACAGGTTCGCTTATTCCTCGCAAATGAGTGTAAGGTATCTCGTGATTTAATCATCGAAACAGACCTTATTTCACCGAAAAGCAGCACAAAATCCCCAATCCAACGTGTTTGCAAGAATACCCGCTCACCCGTATGTAACAATTGCAAGTGGTTTCAAAGAAAAACCGCTGTAAAAGCGTTGCAAACGATCATTGAAACCGACCCGACGATTTCTCGTTCCCTGCTTCATTTATCGTTGACCTGTGCTCCTTTCACGTCGAGATCAGTTACGCGGCACGTGGAGGTAAAGTAGTTCGAAGAGCAGCGAGTAGTGTGAAAATGAAGTTAAGCGAAAAAATTGGGGAAAGTGGGAAAGGAGGGAAGGCAAAGTGTCAGCGACGGCTAACGATGCGCGCCGGGCGAGTTCGGAAATTCGATTTAGTGGAAACTCATGCTAACACGGAATGTGAAATCACATGTGCAAACGTGTAACGCGGTGAAATTCCGATCGATCTTCGAGCACAGGTTGCGCTTTTTGCGGTTTACATGTAACGAAACCCGCTGCCCGCCGGGCAATTTCGAATTTTCTAATTGCTCCCTAAATATTTCTCCGATTGCTCGAACACTGCTAACGAAACACTCACTTAGACAAAATCTCGGAACAAGTGTTTAAAGGCTTGGTCTCGTTAGACTCTGCGCTTTGAATTTGAACTCTCGATCGCGGCTCTTCGCCAAATTAATCTTGGGTAACTGATTTAATTACGGTAGAGCAAGTGGTTTCGACTGATAATACTATCGCGTTGTCTCGAACGATGGACGATGATGGACTAGCATCTAATTTCGTCTGGAATGTTAGACGTTTGCGGAAGATTGATTTGGACGGTTTTTCGTCAGCATAGAATTCTACCGTCGAACGACTGACTCTTCAGCAATCGCTATAAAGTACGGTAACGAAAGTCTGGACACATGGAGAAAGAGAATCCTAACTGTATTCGACTCATACTGTTCGTACTAATGGACATTCATATTTAAGGGGTGAAGTCACCCTCTAAATTTAGGCAGCGAAAACTCATTAATTCAAATAACTCCAGAAGGAATTGAGATAGAAAGAAATGGTAAATAAGAAAGTTATTTGTAATTTAATTTCTGATCTCATTATTGATATAACTGTATGTAAGATAGGGAAATGATAAACTATGCATTTGAGTTACTGCCAGTTGCAGAAATTAGGCGGAATATTTGAAACTTGGAAACTTCCAATCTAAATTTGATTAATTATTTAAATAAATGAAATTTAGAATGGACTTTCGTTTATCTTTCATTCCATGGAATATTTCTAAGTTTCAACCATAAATTCGTTCCACGTTATTACAAAAATATACATATTTTTTATAATTAATTTTCAATTTTTTCTATAATACATAATTTACATATTTAACTTCTGAATTTCTCTTAGGTCAATTAATTACTCGCACTACCAATTTCCTGCACAGGTGAATATTGAACGGTATTTCGCATTTCAACTCTTCGAACTGTGTAAAAGAAAAAATACAAAGGCACACGCCTAACGTAGTTTTGACATTCTCGAAATTTCGGCTGGCATAAATAACCAACGAAAAGATCCTCCCCTGTCCTTTATACGAACGAACTCATACTTGAAACACAATAATGGTATCACACACGTTGTCACATCTAATAGAGAAATATTCATTTTTATTTCAGGATACTTCCCCCTGCCGTCAGTTTACTGCCTCGTTTGGATCTGCCTGGACGTGTTATTTTGTACGGCGAGCATCATGCATTTGTGCACAATAAGCGTGGACCGGTACCTCAGTCTACGGTACCCCATGAAATTTGGTCGTAATAAAACCAGACGAAGAGTCACCCTGAAAATCATCTTCGTGTGGATTCTCAGCATCGCCATGAGCTTGCCGCTCAGTCTGATGTACTCGAAGGTGAGACACTTAACACGAAAACACCACGGCACACACCCTGTGTATTTTACTTTCGCGTCACGCGAAACCTCGGGGCCGGTAAATTCCGTTTGAACACGTTACTGAAAATTATACAGTACTTATTCGAACGTTCGTATCTTCTGAAAAATAAAAAAAAAAAAATAAAAGAAGGGAAGTAAAACACGAATATCGCGGTTTCCAACGATTTTCTGATACGAATCTTAGCTACCGAATCGGCGAAGCAATATCCTGAATAACGAACGTGTATTCGAGTCTGGATATTCTGTAAGAGTATGGGGATTTTTAGAGCGTAGCAATAAATTTTACAGGAAATTTACCGAAATGTTTATTTTATAGGAAGATCTGATAAATAAAGAATCTGTTCAAACACTCTTCATTCACACTTCTGTCACTCTGCTCCCAACATTTGCTTGAAAAATCCTATTCGTCCAATCCCATTATTATCATTTCCGTCTTAATTTGTGAAATATAACGAAAAAAATTAAAATGTTTCTTAAAATTCAGAAAACGAACTGTAACCCTTTATAACCATAACTGTTTGACACAGTTTACATTCTACACTCTAAGTGTAAGTATTTGCATATTGAATAATTGAAATGATCCAATCATGTGCTTTCAATTATTCAGTTATGCTTTTTGTAAATGAAAGCTAAAACACTGTTACGTTTTTCAGTAACAGAAAGGAAAGAATGTTAAATGTAAGAATGAAAAAAATTTAGATCTGCGTGTAAATAAGGAAATGATTGCAAATGCTTTTACCTACCAATACGTATAGCTCGTTTATCAAACGGCTGATAGGCTTTTCGTGTAGCACGAAACATACAGTTCTTTCTTCTCACTTGTATTTCCGACGTGTGCAAGTCGTAGAAATGAAATGTATGCAGAAACTGAATTCTTACAAGCGCCTTTAAAATCGAAGAAACAGAGAACTGATCTACATCGCCGGATTTTATTCTGGGATTTTTTTTGCGAGAAAAAGAGTTCAAGGATGGTAATTATTCTACGTTTAATTTTAGCCGTATCGTTGATAAATTTGATTTTTCAATTTAACCACATTGGGAATGTAGTATTTTTGTTACATTTTTATTTTGTAGTAACTCTGATGATTTTTCAGCGTCATTCGTATTTTCCAAGTGAGAA